GGGGGGGTGTAGACATGCTCCCCTGTCTTTCACCATGTAGTTTGTGATGTTTTGCAATTAGGGTTATTTTCATAAAAATTGGTTTACGACAGTTTTAGTGGCCATAGAATGTGTGTTCAATGGCAGTCACTTTGACCCCCAAAAGCAAATCTTAAGCACTAAATTGTCTGGATAGGGGAGAATTGAAGCCAGGGATCGGAAAGTCAAAATTAAATTTAAAGAAGTACTTCATGAATACACCGGTACCGAAAAAAACAAAGACAGTCTTAGTCTAGACTTATATATAGTTCATGACTGACATGATTCTTTAGGGGAATTGAAGAAGGTTAGTAGGGGAAGGATTTAGTGGAGTAAAGTACTGTGTAGAAAAGGAGGGAAACTAAAGGGCCAATCTTATGCCTTTTATTAAGAAACTGTATAAACATTTTGAAGCAAGGCTTAATTCCTAAGAATATGATTTTTTAGGTGAAGGACACTTGTATTCTTAACTTTTAACCTGGAGTTGGTCAGCGGCTAGATATTTACATGTACATTGTTCTACTTCTGATCCACTAATTTCACCATTCAATAATTGCCTAAAATTTTGTGCTTATCAGTATCATGATCGTGCTGAGCAACGCTAATGACCCAAATTTCGTCCTCCTCAGGGTTATTTGAAGCGTCAAGCCCTGTATGCTTGTGCCACCTGCAGCCCTGATGGTCTGGCTGGAGTGTGTCTTGCCTGCAGCTACGCATGCCATGAAGGTCATGAACTGTACGAGCTCTACACCAAGAGGTATTTCGGATCATGCTTACTGCTTGCTTGGCCTTGTGATGTGTCAATTTTACTCATCATGTTCATAAAGAAAAAGGCAACATTTTTCTGCTTGTGGAGAAGTTTAAAGTACTGCAGCAAAAAGGAAAACCCATCTGTTTTGAGGCTTTGGGTAATACAAATAAATACCATAATGCAAATCTTAATGCATACATGTCGATAAATTTCAACACATTGTGCACAGTGCATATTGTGACATGGCAACAAGCAAGTTCACAAGCTCTCAACATCATAGCTCATAGCTGGTTAATATCTTTGTCATGACCAATATAACTCGTTTGACTATGCTTTTGAAATGGGGATTCCTTCCTGAGTGCAATATTCATCTGGGTGCAATACTCAACAGGGGTTCCTGTACAAATGGATCCAATTTTGATTTGTTTATCCTAGCCAGCCGACAGTTGGCTGCACTCTATTTGTAACAAATAAACTACTTCCTTTTCATTGGTAGGATTCTTGTTGTCCTTTGTGTTTCGGGTAGAATATAGAGTGATAAAAGTACATAGTTCCTCTCTGTAATTCATCTACTAATAAATAGACACACTTAATTTTTGTCACTTATCAATTTCCATGTTTGGTAGAGTGCTGATGCTGATTACCATCAAAGAAAGTAAAAGACATGCCTGATTCTTTTTCCTTTTCTTAAACTGCAATTTTTCCAATTTGTTTCTTTTGGTTACCATGTTGTCCTTTTTTTTCCTAAAGCTTTTGTCTATAGGTACAGGCAGCTTGATCAGAAACTGTTTGCTTGTGGAGTCATGTCTAATATATCATTGTATTATGTTTTTTTTCTCATTCAAAGGCATTTCCGATGTGACTGCGGCAATGAAAAATTTGGAAACAAAGCATGTAAACTATATGCAGTAAGTTGCAATAAGGTCTTTTCTTAAAGCTAATGTTTGCAAACAAAACCACTGAGCTACAAAGTGAAATTAAAGCCTGTTGACCAGTTTCAAATATATTTGATATGCTATCATGGTGGGTTTTTCATTTACTATCTAAGTTAATCTAACAGTGCTTCCAATTTCCCGCATTTCCGCATTTTTTAGTTTCCTCCAGACCTCATCTGCCGATCGGATGCCCGCCACCTCATTGATGGTTCCCCCCTCCCATGTTCCCGACTTTCTCACTTGTAAAAAAAAAAACTACATCTAGATCTATGTTGCGTTTCGGTTGCCTTTAGTGAAACCGTGCTGTAAATATAAAGCTTAATTTACCTTTCACTGTTGGAAGTTCTGATTGCTGACCTGACGTGTCTGTGTTTGAAGTCATACAATTATTATTTTATGAGAGTGGATTCGAATCCCGGTCTCAGAAGTTTGTTTGTTTTTTTAACTCCCGACTGACCAACAATTTTTTTCCCATTATTATCATTTGTTTCTCTGTAGTTTTTTATGTAGTGATGAAACATGCACATTCTGGTGTTGTCCACAGGAGGAGCTTTTACTAACAAAGTATACTTTTCCTTTTACCAATTTAGGCCTTGTTAAAGTTAAATAGTGGCTTTACTTGGTGTGTGAATCTCATTCTTTTTTAAATGTTAGGCTCAGAAAGGCCAAATTTTGTTTTTTCAATTGCAAATTTTCTTCAGCTTCATGGGGCCGGCGGCCCCTGGACCCCCAACCATGGCTTTGCCAATTTTCCCTCCATTTTGGGATTTTGCTGTTGGAAGCACTGATCTAAGGCAAACACTTTTCTATTTTAAAAATGATAAATCCTGTCAATCCAGTCAAGAATAGTGTCGTTTCAAAATACATAAGAACTTTAGAGATGAGAATGAAATGCAGTTCAGTGGAGAGCTGCCATAGGGTACGAATGGGTTATCAATGATGCTTCTGACGTATAAAGTATAGTCTTTTGAAAGGCTTTCCATGTTAAATGTTTATATCTGTAGAACTTATCGGTGTTTAAAAAATTTTTCTTTCTGCAGGGCAAAATGGAACACAACACGAAGAACAGATATAATCAGAATTTCAAAGGTGTTTACTGCAGCTGTTCAAGGCCCTATCCTGATCCAGAGGATACAGTGAGTCCCTTTGCTTTATCCAGTTGGGTTTGGAGAACTGCTCTGGTAGTCAGGACTGAGTCAAAGTGTTTTTAGTTAACTGACTGTAAGGTGAATTATTGTTATTGCTCCTTTTTTTAGCCTTTGAATATACACACCACTGCAGTGGAAAAAGAACAAAGGATTGAGTATTAATTTGGCATTGGGTAGAGAGATGGAGAGTCACTAAATAGAGAGTCATTTGTCGTTAAAGTACTGGTTCTGATATTTTGTAAAATATTATAGCGAGATAAATAGAGAATGTCACACTTAACCATGATTGTACCGTATTGTCAGACTTGGTGGGTGGAGTGGATGGCCCTGGTTTGAATCCCCAACAGAGTGTTCCTAATTTTTTTTTGTTTCTGAGGAGTTTTCAAGGCTCTCCATCAATTCGGCTTGGTGTTACTGGAGATAAGTATAAAATTTGGAGGTCCTGCCTCTTACTTTATTTCATCCAGACTACATGCATATGGGTAGGGCCTATGTGCTTTTAAAAAAATAGTTTTAGTAAATGTTTAATGGCACTTGCAACACAATAAGGTCATATAAGTGCAGAAGATTAGAGGTGTTACAAGAGAGTAACACACACAAAAAAGAAGGAGGGGAGATAAAGATGATAGATGTTTGATAGGAAAGAAGAAGCAAACCACACCAGAGCACCCCCAACCACCCACGGGCCTATGTGCTTGCACCGGCTGGTCTACATGAAAAGACATACCGAGTATTACTAAACCAATTCAAGTTGTTTTCCATGTTTCTGGCTTTTCAAAAGAAATAAAATCTCCCCTACAATATGAAGAATTAATTGGCTTTATTCTTACTCAAAGGATGACTAAAGTTGTTATGTTAAGGCAAAGTACAACTAAATAAATGATGAAGAATGTGAGAGTAGATATTTAAATCTAGAAAGAAAAGGAGAGTGGTTTGATTTGAATGGCTTTTGAAGAGTAGCTAGATCTAGATTACAGATTTATGAGAAGTTGGAAGTTGTTGTGGGTGAATTGAGTGTTGATGAGCCACAATCTGACAAAAATTTGAATTTTTTTCTCATCAGTTGTATTTCCCTTTTCTCAAATATTTTAGAAGATCATCAAAGTAAAATCTAAACAAAATTTCATATTGACAGCTTATTAACCCTTTAAGCCCTGACCTCTTGAGGCTACAGTGCCCCTCTGCCTAAGCTCCTAAGCGATTCACGCCTTCATTCACATCATTGTCAGAATCACATTCCATGTCCCACTCAGGGTAGTCCTCGTCATTACCAGCTTCTGATTTAGAAAGATCTTCAAAATAATCACAATGTCCTGTGTAGTAAACAGTTTTCAGGCGGATTTTGTCCCGGGCAGGTTGGTTTGGGGATAGGGTCTTGCTCACTGGTGTACTGGTAGCTAGGCATTTAGGCAATTTTACCCGCCCACAGTGTACAGGTGGCTTTGGCTCAAAGGGTTTAGTATTTTGGGCACAATACAATGCATATTTAAAGTGTTTTTGTGAATTCATGGATACTTACATCTATTTTGAGGTAAGCTTGTTTTTGTCTTTTACTTGAATTACTCTTTCTAATAAGCTAATATTTGGTAATATGTATAGATTCTTAAGTTAAAAAAAAAAAGAACTCTTTAGGAATAAAAAATGTGCGGGATCAAACTTGAAAATTTGTGAAGAAAGACTAGTACAGTAATTGTGTTGAAATTTGGACAAGCTAAGTTTTGTTGTAGTAGATAAACCAGAAAGATGGAAATATCCAGCTTCAACATGGTAAAAGTTTTGGTTTTTTTTTTGACAGGTGGAAGATGAAATGATACAGTGTGTTGTATGTGAGGACTGGCACCATGGACGAGTGAGTATTGATTGTTTGTTGAAGTAATGTGAGGTTTTGTGCAGGTTTTCAGTCTATAGTATAGTTACTGTGTTATGGAATCAGCAAATGTGTTGCAATGTGGTGAAATCAGGTGCTCGCCAGAATGATTTAAATGGAAGAAACCTACATCATTCTGCCCCCCGGCAATTTTTAAAAATAATTTTTTTGGGCCTAACACCAACACTTTAACATTATACCCATTTAAAATATCATTTTGCGTGGACTTTATTGACAAATGTAAATCGAAGGCACAAATTTTAAAAAATGATGGATGTGCAGATTCCAAGAACACTCCTGCTTTAGAAGCCACCAAACTTTGATGGCCTTAATTTTACTTTTGACCTCAGGCAACCCCCACTTCCTTCAAAGTTATCTCGACTTCTGTCCAAGATATATGGATTTTTTGTTCATCAAAACTGTTAAGATTATACCAGTAACTGAATGAATCCATCTAGATAGGCAAAGCTGTACTGCTCCAACCCTATTAGTAGAAATTGTAAAGGGGTTCTGTGAACATTATTTTTAAGATTGTTTCTTGTTATCTTGCTAAATGCATGAGAGTGGTAAATTTGTGACTGTATTTATTATTTTCTCTTTTGGTTGCAATGGTGATTTGGGAATTTGTAAATTGCTGCATTGTCTTTCTCACCATCATTTTCTTACAGTGTGTCAATAGGAAATGAATATAAAAATTTAAGATGGTGACACATTTGTTTGTACTTTCGTTGGACATGTATTACATACGTTATGAATGTGTGCTCTACAGGTCCATCTGTTTCAATTTTTTTAAAGTATCTATTTTTATTTCTTGCTTCCAGCATCTGAATATTCCAGTCCCTGAGAAAGACTTCAGTGAAATGATTTGCCCAGCATGTATGGCAAAGCATCAGTTTCTTTGGGCATATCACGTTCAAGGTGAAGGTAAGTTCTCTGCCACATCTTTTCAAACACTATGAGTGTATGAGTGGACCTGTGAGCTGATTGCTGTCTTTCAAAAAGTTCACTGACTGATAGAAGGTTTTGACCCTGTGCTCCTTCTAACCACTGTTTAGTGTTATGGATCCAGTAGCTGGTGAGTCTGTTTTATGCCCTGTTTGTGGGTCTTCTTCAGATGTTTCTGTAAGGGGTTGGAAGTTGCTAATGGTGTGGAAAGAAAAGGCCGTCTCTTATATCAATATTTTTAAAAACTGTGGACAAGTAGTTTCATAAATGATTTTGTCAGTGTAGCATGTCTCCCTAGTTTTACGCGTTTTGCATTATTATTACACAGAAACGGCCGCGATTATGGAAGTACGCAAATCTGGGGAAAATTACACTTTTTTCCAACCCGCGAAGTAGTCGTTTTCATGTCCGTAAAATGTTATTTAATTAAGCCAAATGATGGAAGTACGGCGCCGGCTCAGGCTTGGACGAGGCTTGTTGCTGGGCTGATTTGGAATGGTCTCCCCTTCGCTTTGTATTGCTGCACGCATGTGCGACAGGCCCGTTATCAACTAGCAGTATCTGGATCAGGCCTCTTCCTAATGAGTGCACGAAATTTGCCCAAGTCCTCTCAGATCATTGTTATGCGTCTGATTACACTTTTTTGTCTCGAATTACTGAAAATCATCTTTTCTTTTACACATTTTTGGATCTTGAACTAGGGAGGTATGGTGCAGCGTCCTATTGGGTCTCAGGTGAAAATGAAATTGGGATCTTATGTACTTTTTTTAAAAGAAGCATGTCAGCATGAAGATAGCCCTATCAAGCTAAAAAAAAGTGTAGAAACAAGTAGTCCTGTCTTTTAAAAGATTTGAACAGGGAATTTCGGTCATGAGGAACAGATTTTTTGTCCACTTTTGAAGAGAACTGAAAGGGCTAGCCAGGTCCTAGTAGTATATTTTACAATTGCATTATAAGCACACAAAAAAGAGAGGTTATTTTGCAGTGTGATTTTGAGATCAAAATTAGGTAATAAAAAGGATGTATGAGACTCCAAAAGGGGTGTAAAGTGTCTGTTTATTATGAATAATACACTGTTCGTGAAATATTTGTATGTCTGGTGAAACAATCTGGTGTTTGTTTTATATTTGCCCACCTGTGTTTGAGCATGACATGTGAGATACACAGAATGTTTTCAGACATTTTGTGCTTTGATATACAGTTGAACCTCGGTATAATATACTTGGCTTTAAACTGACTCTCAGGTTGAGTATTTTTACCATTTAAAAGCTTTTTCTAAAAAGGACCTGCCTGAAATGTGCTATTCACTATAATATTCACTTTACAAGGGATTTTATGTACCAATAGTCCATTTACTACATATGCTGTTCATTGTGAGAAAAAAAGAACAATCTAAAAAAAACCCGAAAGGTTTGCCATACTCAGGAATGCAACATAATGAGCTGCGGTGAGGGGGAGTATTTTTGGTATGGTTTTGTATGGTAGTGCTTGCATCTGCCACCCCCTCTCTTTTTCTCTTCTTCACACTCATTCAGATGTTGTGATTAGTTAGTAATATCGCTTGTAAGGGGGTCGCCATCGTATGCTTTGCTAAGACATTCAAAATCTTGAGTCTGAATGGAGTATGTTATACCAAGGTGTTACTGTATTTCTCTTTTTTTTTTTTACAGTGACAGAAATACAAAAAGAAGAAACTGATATTGATAACAGCTCCCCGATTGTGAAGGTTGAGGTTGAAGAAGCAGAAAATAAAGTCAAAACAGAAACATCGCAAACACTCTGCGCGGGAAAGTGTGATGAGGCTGCGACATCATTAGGACATCAAGAAAATGGAAATGTAAAAAGAGAAGATGTGAACGGGCACAATGGAGTGACTGATGTGAAAGGGGAGAGCTCTGATCAGACGTCGCCAGGAAAGGCTCAGAAGAGAGAGCGGCAGGAGTCTGACAGTGCGCAAAAAGCTGAGGTATGTTACATTCAAGAGATTTGTTTGGGGTGGATGGTTTCAGGGCACTTTGTTTGTATTTCCTACTAATTTGGTTACCACCCCTGTTCTGTTTCTGTCATCCTGTTTTGATTTTTTTTTTTTTTTTTTTTTTTTTTTTTTTTTTTTTTTTTTGATTCATCAAATGATTGTGTGGCTTTATGAATAACTTTCATTGACATCATATGGGTTTTGCAGTTGTGGGGTTGAAGTTGTTCAACTGAGGGTAGTTGGAAGGCATTACAGGAATGTCCTATTTCTGTTGTTTCCTTCTATTGTTGACCCACCTTACTGTTTTCCCCCCAGTGTTCTTCTCCCAAAAAAATGAAGCCGGATGTCAGTGACAATGGAGTGCAGAATGAAGTGGAAGGTGCAGAGGCAAAGGATAAGTGTCTGTTAAAAGCCCTCCAGTGTCGAGAAATGGAACACCCAGAGACTGCAGCATTCTGGCCAGAAGGCTGGAGACAAAAGCTGTGTCGCTGTGTGCAGTGCATGGTAAGCTGTATTCACAAATTGTCTTGTAGGTCATGTTTTTAACAAAGATAGTTCTATTTGATAGGGCTCTCCAATTTGATACTCAATGTTTGGTGTAATAATGGCTGGGCTTTTCAAGAAATTTTGTTCTATGAAATAGGACGCTCCGATTCGATACTCAGTATCTAGCTTGTAATGGCTAGGCTTTTTGGTACCCTACGCAAAAGATGCAAGTTTGATTACTCGTTGGGGAGGTTTTTTAAAATCAAATATCTGTCTCTCTTTCTGGGGGATGTTGTATCCTCCTGATCCTAGGTTGGCCTCGACAGGTAGGAAAGAAGCAGCCCACCTCCTACATGAATCTAGATTGTGTCATCTGGAGGTGAAAAACTCTTATAGTTACAGACTGTTTTTTTGGGGGGGCAGCATGGCATGTTGTAGTTTCAAGAAGTAGAAGTTAAGATTGTTCTAAAGGAGAAAATTTTGAGCAAAATCCGGAAATTTTTATACCTCGACAAATGGGGACCCTGTTTAATGGACTTTCTTATATGTGTTACCCAGGGTAGAGTTCAGGGTTCAAAGTCAAATCAGAGTCGTTAAATATTCTTTTCTGAGAAAAACTTATGTGTAAATTCCTTGTACGCTTTAAGTATTCAAAAATAATGGGGGCGGGGCCTGCATTCGTTATCATTCAAAAACTTTTTTGGCAAGAGTGATTGTTAAACCTGTTATTCTTATCTGTGTGCGCTGTAGGAAATGTACAAAGACAAAAACATTGAGTTCCTGTGTGATGAGTTGGACACAGTTCAGGCATACGAGGACAAGGGCAGGGATACAGCCAGCAATACTGAGGAATCAGAAGCATCAGCTTTAGCGGGAATGGACAGAGTGCAACAGATTGAAGTGGTTCGAGGTGAGTGATTACGGTTCTAGCTAAGCAGGCCTGTCTATTCTGATCAGAGGATTCTGCTGTTAAGTCCCACTTCTTTACTATCCCTCTGATGTTTCAGTTTCTCTGTCACGCTTGTAGGTGTTGGAGGGTACTACTGCCAGGTCATACTTCTTTTCTCTCTCTGTGTTTCTGCCATTTCTTCTTGCCATTTCCCTGAACTGAATGACCATAATTACGGGGTTGATGTGCTTCTTTCTACTCCAAAAATCAAACCAATATGCTTTTTCTAGCTTAACAACTATCAGTATGGCAGAATTTTTGTTTTTAGCATGAATTTGTCCATCAGCAAAGAGGAAAAACTCAAATTTGTAGTCTATTGTGTTGTGTGTAACACAGTAATTGCAGTGATGGATACCCACACAGCTTAATGCTTTGTTACTTTTTGTTCTCATTTACTCCGCCTTTATAGACATCTCATTATTACTAATACTCAAAGATCCGCATGCTTGATATTATGTATAAATAGGTATGTTTTATTTGTTTTCTCTCGGTCTTGCCTTTTCCCTTCACTGAATTGCTGTTATTAGGTTGATGTCTGTCTATTTGCTCAACGAGAAGAAACATGTGCTAGAAATTTAGGTCATATTCCTTTGAAACAAGTCAGTATGAAAACATTATTTGAAAATATTGAATTGCCTTTCTGGTAGGTAATTGGTCTTCTTTGTCTGCTACAAAATGACTATTGAAGTTTTCCGCAGCTGGACATCGCAGTGCACATTTAGCTGAAAATATTATTTAAAATTGTCTCTCCTTATTGATAAATTGGACCAAGGCAGTAACTGATTTTGATTTTACCTCATCTTTCTGAAGAAAAGGAGTCATTGAATGATGACGTTTTTGTCTGTTTATGCTCGTTATGTGTCAAAAGTTAACTTACAATGAATCAGTTATACTTTTTTCGTTGTTGTTATGGATCCAGTTTGTTGATGATTTATTAATTTAGATTTTTAGGCAAAAGTAAAAGTTAAACCCAAGCACCTTCACGATCACAGCCCACTGTTTTCCTGTCCCTGTAAAACACAACTACATACCCATGATGGTATCTAAAGATGTTGGGCTCTAGGTTTTCGTTGTTCAAAATAGGGGTTTCTACTTTTACAATTTTTTTCTGGAGCACCAAGCATGTTGTATAAAGTAGAGATAGATGTATACTGAAAAGGTTGTTGTTTTTTTTTCCTTAGGGTTTATCGACATGAAGTCACAGCTGAACGAGTTTTTGCAAGGATTTGTTCGGGACGGCAAGGTAGGGACTTGTACAGTGGATACTGTCTAAGGTGGCCACCCATTGCTGAGGAGAAAAGTGGCTGTCTTGCAGTGTCATTATAATGTACTTTACTCTTCTGATCCAGCGCCCATCTGGATTCTAGCTCTTCGGCCTGTCATTATATTGTAAAAGCATACGCATGGAATGAGAGGGGGGAGGGGATGACTGTCGTATCTATTTGTCATCATATTTTGGGGAAAATCTATATAAACTGAGTGGTAAACATCGGCGAGATGAGGTGGCAAAGGGTTAAACAGGTGGAAGTTGGAGCAGGTTTGATAAATGATGTACCTTGTCTGTTCAGTGGTAGTTCCCCAACTGCTCTGATCTAATGAAGAACTGAGTAAAACGAAGCACTAAAATCTTGTTTTACCTTAGACTCGATAATACATGTATGTTACAAAAGATGGAGGAGCAATTTCTTTTCCAGTTATTGCCATCAAACCCTTTGAGTCTCAGTCATCAAAAGTGAGGCAAATGAACAGGCTTTTAGATTTTGTGACTCATAAATATAAGCACATTTTGTTGATTCAATTTGGACTGAACAGGAAAGGCCTCAATTTTGAAATTAATTAACAAAATAAATTCTTTCATTTATATTTTTGGGATAAATTTTAATGCAAAAATTAGATTATGATTTCTTTTCTTTTTTTTGTCCGCTTGACTTTGACAAGAAAAAAAAATTGAAGTAAGGCTACTGTGGAAAGATGTTAAGACTGCTTTATGATTAAAGGTACAACTGTCCTTGGTACACATGGAGTGGATAATTTTTCATTTTTTGTATTGAAAAAATAAAAGTAATTGGAAGTAGGCAGCATATTAAATTGGCTTTTTGAAATTCAAAGCCATAAGAATGGTTTTTAATATTTTGTTTCATTGATTGCTGTTGCAGTTTTGTGTATGGAATACAGCAACTGCCAATTTTGCTGGTACTAAATTGCTCTGGGTTTGGTTTTTTTTTTGGTCGGGGGGGGGGGGGGGGGGGGGGGGGGTTGTGCAGGTTGTTAGAGAGTGCCAGTGGCTGGTCCTTTTTCTTTTCTTCCTGACTGATGTTTCTGTCTGTTTATCTTGCTCTCTTGCCCTGCACTCAATGATAGTTTTTGTGTTCATGTATTTCTCTTCTTCAGTGGAACAAAACAAGCAATAGTGTATTGGTTCAGTGTCATTTCCTGTCTCAATATGTGTGTCACGATGAGGTGGAATCAGGCGATCGTCAATTTTTGGGCATGTTGATTATTGGTATCATCCGAGAGCTTATTTGTTTCCTTGCTTTCTATCTTGAATAAAGTCAAGATTTTTGTGACTGAAGGAGCTTGGGGTCGCCTGGTTTCAGAAGTAAACGGCCCCCAAAGCTTGGTAACTTCAATAGGATGATAGTCCTAAAAATGCCTGTTTCTTTTATTTCATTATTTGACGAGTGCCTGATATCACCACGATGCCTCACGATTGTCCCGAATTTCCTTGGACTGTCCCGAATCTGGCAATGTGGAATTTGAGAGCCTTATTACATCGTGCATTAAACCTAAACCAGTCCCTTTTGATATAGTTTTGTTGGTTGTTACATAATCTGATTGTTATGATATTACGTGTTTCTGAATGTGTTTTTAAAAAGCTGGCTTGCCTGTATTGTGATTTTTAATAAAGTTCTTTTCTCCCTTTCAGGTGGTCACAGAGTCCGACATTCGAGAGTTTTTTCAAAGCATGCAGCAAAGAAGACGGGGTCAGATCGGAGTACCACAGCGATTTTGTCGTTGATATTTTCATCACCATTGTTGTCTATGTCACACCTAGACAATGTACTACATCATCAAACTGCAACATCTGCTGCAAGAACAAAATGCAACAAATGTACTAAATGTTCATCTAGAAATAGTTTTCTTTGTCATCATGAAGATTTGCAGCCAGCGATCAGATTTTTTATGACAGCTTCTTTTTTTTTCTTTTTTTTGTTGTTGAGAAAAATGAGGTGGCAGGTTTGGTTATAGTTTTTATACATGGGGTTTTTATACCTTTCAGAAATAGGGAAAAGGTTGGTTGATAACTGTGGTATATGAATTCAACATTAACTTTGATAGACAAAGATACAATATGCTTTTGATTTTTAACTTACACGGGATAATCAGGGTGACTGCCAGGCCCCGGGGCTCCGGAAATCTCAGAGACCCGAGAATGTAAAATGCCCCGCTAAAGATGCGTGTAAATACTTAAAAATTCTCGAATATTTGAAAATAAAATCCGATACTGTCCTTAACCCCAACTCTGGCAAGGGCCGATTAGCTCGGCCGATTTCCTGCCATGAAACTGGCAGGGCCGATCTCATAGGACCATATAGTAAACTGCTGCCTCTGCCTTCCAGCTAAATATTTGGGGCTTCCTAAAGTGATTTCTGATTGGCTGAAAGGCTATCCTCCAACCAGTCAGAATATTTCTATCATTCTGGCTTAGGGGAAGAGTATTTTCTTTTCAAAACAGAGGGATGTTTTGAAAGCTTGTTGTCGCATGTGGGTCAGAACACAACCAGTGTAGGTCTATCGCTTGTGCTACTCATGTGGGTCTTAAATGGCCAAAAATCTATCTTTGTTTAAGACAGATTGCTGAAAACTGCATGGTTGTACTTGTTTTTATTTTGAGCATGGTGTGAAAGTTGCGAGTATCAGTTGCGCTCGAAACATACCACATGACGAATTGAAACAGTCATACCTCATTACCTGTTCTTCTCGAACCTATAAAACTACATTTTATGGAAGGTTATTGGAAAACCTGTTTTTCTGCTTTTTCACATTTTTCATAACATGATATACATTAGATGGTGAATATGCTTATGAGCATGGACATTTTTTTATGTCAGCCATCTTGGATTTCAAAGTTACATAACCCCTTGTAAGTTAAAATGAAATCATATGTTCAAAGGAAAAATATAAAAGTTCATTCAAATACCATTTCAGAAAGTATATATACTTTTGTAGGGTTATTATTCGATACAAGTTTATAAATTTGATTTGTAAACATGTGCACATTTTGGCTGATTAGACTTGCCATTCCTGTTGAAACCAACTTGCCGGAGTTAGGGTTAAGTTCGTTTTTGCCGGTCGTGATTGTGATATTTGTTCGGCTTTTCCTGGTCCGAGAGTTCATTCAGTCTAAGGGCTGCAAATTATGTGACTTCCGAAAGGGGGGATTATTGATTTTTTTTTTAAAAAGATACACTGGGGAGGGGGGGGGGGGGAGGCTACACCAGTTGACAAAGACTGAACTTGGGAAACTGATTTTAATATTTAGAATTTGGTTTACTACTAGAGCTCTCTGCAAAGCGCGCGTTGTTGTAGGCCTTGTGTGGAATCGGGATCCGTCATACTCATACCTTGTAAGCCGTGTTTTTGTACTAAAAGGGTTGACGTTTCATTGGATGGGTGACAGTGAATTGTGTGCACTGTATTTTATATTTTAGCTTTCTGATCAAGATTCGCAGATTTTCAGTGTCACTCCGTCTTTCCCTCCCACAGTTCTTACACCTTTCACACTGAGTAGGTCTACTAGAGCCATACAAGTTATTACTCTACTTTGAGTTTGAGCAACGATTTTTGTCTTTCACGTTTATTATATAAATCATGACACCCAGACTGGTTCTTGACAGTCACTATTCTGGTTCTAGGCCCTTTCTCAGGCTCAAAACAGGATTAATTTTTATATAGTTTGTATAGACGAATATGATAAGGGGAAAGTATTTATAAAAGTAAGAACACACCAAAGTGACACAATACACTAGTGCCACACTCACATGTTGTTGATTGGATATAATGTACCTGCATGCGCGTGTGTGTGTAAATGGATCATGCGATGTTTTTCTTATGTAACATGCCCCTGGAAAATTGAGAAGTGCAGACTGTCTGTTTCTGTTGAAAGTAAGAAAGAGGCACCCTGCATCATGTAAACAAAATTAATTTCTTTCCTTGCATGTTTTGTAGAAATAAGCACAGTTGCTTTTAAACATTGTTAGGCTTACCTTAATGAAGAATTACTGGCATCACCTTTACTCGCCAGTGTTTTCAAACTGATATTTATTACTGATTAGACAATTTTTAACTCTTTCAATGATTATGCACAGTAAAAAACCTATAGTTTTCAAAAAGAAACTAAAGATTATACCAGATTTTTAAAAGCAATTCAACAGTGGAGCTCTTGGTTCCAACTTGTAAGAATAAAGGTTCCTGGGAAGTGCAGTGTTACTGCGGCCTCCTTGAATTCAAGGAGTCCTTGATAAGTCCTGAAAAATTTCCTTAAAAAACTCCTTGAATTTTAGGAACCTCCTTGAAAACTCCTTGAATTTCACCTGATCGAATATGAACCAAATTTTTGTCAAACAATCGAGACTAAGATTCCTTTCAGACAAGCGTAGGCCTATTGGAAATAGGCTTTACAGGTGCGAGTGCGCCGTCGGAAACCTCATGGATTCCATGACCAATTCTCATTGAATTAAAAAAATTTCTCCTTGAAATCTCCTTGAATTTGGTGGGGAGTTCATGGCAGGAACCCTGGATGTGTTACTCACCAGTGTTTTATCTGTGAAGTAGAACCGTTGGTTATTGTGTATTGGCTATTTCTACTCTGCTTAGAAAGAACTAGGAAAGTGGATCAAAAAGGGAATAGAAGTGAAAGCTCACTAATTTAAAATTCTATGAACCTGAAATTTTCTGTCCCTCAAAATATGCTCCTCAACTTTGTATACAGTACTTCAGTCTCCACAGCCTCCTCTGAAACGTACAGTAGTAGTCAGCTCCTGGTGTCCTTTGCTGCTCTGAATTTATAGCTTCTACTGGATCCTGAATGTACAGCAAGCTTATCTTTCAGAATAGGATATAACCAGAAGTCACAGGGGGGGCTGAGTCGGGACTGTTGGCTGTATGAGGCAAGTCTTGAACTTCTAGCGCTTTTATGCACAGAGTTGTGGCCCTTGCTTTGAGGGGCATTTTCATGGAAGACATTGTGTGCATTCTGTGGTGGCACTAGAATCTATTTGGAGAACTGTCTTTAAAAAGCGTGGTTTTGGGACATGTTGAAGGAATGTTTGCTCGCCTGAATTGTGTGTACTTTATTGTCAAATAAATCAAGGACCGATTTTTAGATTCAGCCCTGATTTGTATGGATTTTCAATCATGATAACTTTATTCTTACAAACGTGAAATTCATTTTTGCTGATATGTATGGTATTATTAACATATAAGATTCTGGAAATGTTTTGTTCAAAAGGAAACCTATTCTCATGTATAAATATCTCATTTTATAGATCAAGTCCATGCATTTTATGAGGAACGGGTACTTGGACTGAGGAAGCATTGCATTTCCTTTTCAAAGGAAGAGATCGTAGATATGATCATATTTCTTCATTTCACTGGCAGTGGGACCAAATGTTTTGTTTCTTGTCGTCTCCTCATTGATTGCTGTCACATGAAAATTCATGTAGTAATCAGGTGTGAGTTGTGTTTAGTTGTATTGTGCACAGTGTTCAACAGATGTTTAAGTCGAGAAATAAAGTACTGATATTGTTCGTTGGTCATGTAATGTTTGGAAATGGTTCTACAAATGTATGAGGGCACTATCTGTATGTATATGTGAGGCAGCGTGGTGGAATCAGGCTATCGTCAAAATAATCAAAGTGACGAAACTTGCATTTTTCCGCAGGTTTGCGAATTTGATCAAATTTTTGGTTTTTTGGCTCAACACCTTTCATGCCCTTTAAAGAACTCATTTCTGTGTGGATTTTTCTGAAAAGCGTTCATTAAAGGTACAAAAATGAAAATTTTCAGTTACCACGGACTCTTAAGCTAAAGAAATAACTAACCTTTGGAGGCAATTTTCTCACTAATTTTACCTCTAAAACCATGTGACCCCCATCTCCTTTATTCGCAAATATCTCGACTTGTATTCAGGATAAATGGATATTTTTTTTCATCCAAAGAAAGACAAGTGAACAAGCTTTAAGATCATACCAATAACTCTACATGCCCCAAAATTGACGAGAGCCTGATTCCACCACGCTGCCTCACATATATGGTGACTTGTTTGCTGTTTAAAATGAGAAGTTCAAATTTAGTTCAGAATGAAAAAATAAAACATGATTTTCTTGTGGTTGGAGGTAACTGTTCTCCAGTTGATAATACTTGTAACAGTGAAAATTTAAAAGTAAAAGATGTGATTATTTCCTTGCTGGTGTCTTTCACATGAAAGGAATCTGAATGGTACATTATACTGAGATTGATTGTTGCTGGAATCTCATTAAACGAATGTGATCCATGTTGAACCAACCATGGTTTCTCTGGCTTTGATTATTTAGTTTTGTAGCAACTCATCTTTTAGTCTTTCATTTTCTTTATGTCTAGTATTTTTTTCTTTGTATCTACTGTCTTGTTCTTAGTCTTTTCTTTGTCTCTATGTCTCAGTGTGTCTTTCCTCTCATGTTTTTGTCTTTTTATTATTTTGTTTTTAAATTCCATGTGATCTCACTTATGATGCCTAGTTCTCTATATATCCTGAATGTTTTTGTTTACTCTTTTTTCCTGTCTCTTTTTTTTTCTTCTTTTAAAAAAAATTAACTCTGTGTGTCTAGTCTCACTCAGTATCCGTCTCTTGACTTTTCATTTTTAGGTGAAAGATGTGTCGTTTGGTCAAGATGTTTGGCCACATACAGCCCATAGGTGGATTCTAGTAACCATAATTGTTTACTCATACGCATGTTCTGGAAAAAGAGGTGCAACGGTTTGGCTCTTCTGCTTGCTTTTGCTGCACACAAAATATTTGGGATCAATTCCTATGCGTGCCTTTAAAATAAAAATGTTTATTATAGGCATTTTTCACCCCCATTGACACACATACATTACACCATCTAGGAGATTGGCTTCACAACTCCCTGTCGGAGCCAACCTGGGCTGAGATGGGTATGGAATACAAAGTCCCAGCAGAAAGACTGAGAAACTCTGTAGAAATTCTCACCATGCATGTACTTGAATCACACTCGAGTATCTTCTGCGGGTGATTGTGGAGTGTTTAACCATTATACCTTGTATGTCAGTCTACCTGGGGAACAGGGTTGGTGATTTTAAAAAATTTTTAAATAAAAATTTTAAAAATCGATTTTAAAAATTTTAATCAGATTTTTTCAATTTCAATCGGATTTTTTTTACTAATGTCGACACAGTTTGGGATTTTTGGTGGCTAAAAGTATGTTCTTTTAGTGCAAAATGCATTGTCTTTATTTTAACTAATGATTAATTTAAGCAACTGCAAAAGAAAGCCTTAATCTGCTATATCAGTGAATTATGGCTACAGACAAAAAATGAAGAAAATGTCAGTCTAAAAGGAAGAGCGGGGGGGGGGGGGGTAATTATGCATAGATAAACTTACATTTTATTACAGTGTGTTTGTGTGTGTGTGCGCTTGTGTTTGTCTAAAAGGAAAAAGGAAATGCTAATTTCAATTATGAAAAAAAAAAAAATTGAATACTGTGTTATTTTACAATGACAGGGGGGAAAGCAAACTTTTAGCATGATTATATTAGTCTACTAAACTTATATCTGTTTTATAAAACCAAGGAAAGGAATTCTGAATGTTTAAGGTGTAAAAACAGAATGCATTTTTTAAAAGTGATTTAAATCACTGATTTTTATTTTTAAAATCAAGTTGATTAAAATTTAAAAAATCAACCCAGCTCTGATTTCAATTGTGGAAAAAAAATTTTTTTAAAAATCTACTGCTTTAAATCGACCTGATTTAAATCAACCCAACCCTGATTTCAATTATAAAAAAAAGTAAATTGAATTATTTGAATGCTGTGTTATTTTACAGTGACAGGGGGGAAGGCAGACTTTTAAGCATGATTATATTAGTCTACTAAACTAATTTTAAAAATCAAGTT